TCCTGCAGCGGGGCGCGGCGGGCGGGCTGGGCCTGCTCCAGGGCGCCTGGGCCAAGGCCCACGAGCTCCGCATGCCGTCGTGGCGCAAGGAAGCCGACAAGGCTCCGCCTGGTGCGCCGCCCTCTGCTCAGTTTTGCCGCCTTTGGCTTCTGCTGACGTCATCACCATCGTCGCCATCATTGATTGACGTTGTGTCGTGGCAGTGGTCACGCCCGAGGTGGGGTCGTCACAGCCCACGCCCGGCTCCCAGGTGTAAATGGCATACATGTAAGACCGCACAGCGCACGACTGCACACGACCCAATGTTATGGCCATTGTTTCAAGAAACAATGTAATGTTTGTGAATAGAAGAAGAGAAATCGTATGTACACAACTTTATGATGGCTGAGGGACTCTATTCGTGCATGCCGTTGTCCTCGGCGTCGTCTGTGTATCGCTGTTGCAGCACTGGCAGGTTTTGGTACTTGGCGATCAGAGCACTACGCACAAGGCCATGTCAGCAAACTTCACCAACGCGCGCCCACTCACCACACACGCGCGCACACCACACACATGGCACCTTTTTCGCTTGAGCTGGTCCTGATACTGGTGGAGGAGGGCCTGCTGCTGGGCGTGCGTGAGGTCGGTACCGGGCAGTTCGTCCAGCGTTTGGTTACACTTCTTGAAGTGCGCGTTCAGATCACTCGTCTGCGCAACAAGTACAGCTTGATTTATCTTGGGAAAAGAAATAAGAAATGCCGTATAACAGGCAAGGAGTGGTACCAGTCGAACGATGTCGCGTTCTTCACCTCCATCTTGAATGGCTTTCAAGATGGACACGAATTTTGGTAAAATCAGCTCAAATTCCGAGAGAAAGCCTTCATCGTCAGGGTTCATGTGTCCTCCTGCACCAGCTGCCCCTTCGGCACCCGTGGATGCTGACGTCGTAACCGAATCGGCGAAGAAACCGAGATCATCCATGCGCCACGAAAATCAAAATAAGGAAATGAAAAATCAAAAGAAAAGATTTTTGAAGACAGGAAAGACTGTCATCCATTTTGCCTCGATTGTTGCGGCATCGACCGACCCCAGACATCAGAGCAATCACCATCTCCCCCCAAGAAGACGTGAGGCACTGCCCAGCTATCAATCGACAAAATGGGTATTCTCGACAAGATCAAGGACATTGAGGCGGAAATGAACCGCACTCAGAAGAACAAGGCCACTGAGCACCACATCGGTCTCATGAAGGCCCGTTTGGCCAAGCTGCGCGCTCAGGTTCCCGCTTTTACATCCCCTGCAGCCACTAAATGAGAGATTAAAGAGATTAATCTGGATTTCTACCCCCTACTTTTAATTCATTCATTCATACCGCTAAATCAAATCATTACTCTTTTTAATTCATCCATTTGCAGCTGCTGGAGCCGACGGGCAAGGGCAAGGGAGGCGGTGAGGGCTTTGCCGTCACCAAGTCGGGAGATGCTCGCGTGGCCATGATCGGGTACTCACTACTTCGTTGCCCCCCACCACCACAACAACTGTCCTCTCACCCCACTCACCCTGTGTGCGTGTGCCATGTGCGTGTGTCGTGCGATGTGCGGTGTGTGCGGTGTAACTTTTTAAAAGTTTCCCGTCCGTTGGTAAGTCGACGCTGCTGTCGATGTGCACAGAGACCAAGTCCGAGGCGGCCGCCTACGAGTTCACCACCCTTACCTGCATCCCGGGCCGGCTCGAGTTCAACGGCTCCAACATCCAGCTCCTCGATCTTCCCGGAATCATCGAAGGCGCCGCCCAGGGCAAGGGTCGCGGTCGACAGGTCGTCGC